ATCTCTCCACTTTTCTGCTTTGTAATGCTGTGTTTTTATCTCTCCACATTTTTTGCTTTGTAATGCTGTGTTTTTATTTCTCCACATTTTTTGCTTTGTAATGCTATGTTTTTATTTAATGCTGACTACTTTTGCATTTTTTTCACTAAATTCTTATTGAATCATAGCTGTATACATTTCTGGTGTACAATGTGATGATTTGATGTACAATGTGGAATGCTTAAATCAAACTAATTAACATAATCATCACCTCACTTAATTTTGTGGTAGGACATTTATAATGTACTCTTAGTTGTTTTGAAATCTACCCATGCATTGTGCACATTAGGTGAGATCCCACCTAATTCCCTCCCTCCACTCACCCTTTCCTTCTCCTCCCTGCTCCTTCCTCTCCTTTCTTTCTTTGAGACTATCTTTGCATTTTATCATTTGTATGAATGTGTGTTTATATATTGGTTTCATAAAGGTATTGAGTACATTGGATACATTTTTCCCATTCTTGAGATACTTTACTAAGAAGAATATGTTCCAGCTCCATCCAAGAAAACAAAAGATGTAAGGTCTCCCTCTTTTTTATGGCTGCATAGTATTCCATGGCATACATATACTACAATTTGTTTATCCATCATGGGTTGATGGACATTTAGGACACTTTCCTGACTTGGCTATTGTGAATTGGGTGGCAATAAACATTCTGGTGCAATTGTCTTTGTTGTAAAATGATTTTTGTTCATCTGGGTAGATACCTAGTAATGGAATTGCAAGATCAAATAGTAGGTCAACTTTTAGTTCTTGAGAATTCTCTATACTTCTTTCCAAAAGGACCGTATTAGTCTGCAGACCCACCAGCAGTGTAGAAGCGTTCCCTTCTCTCCACACCCATGCCAACATCTGCAGGGTTGGGATTTTGTGATGTGGGCTAAACTTACTGAAGTTAGGTGATATCTCAAAGTGGTTTTGATTAAATTTCAGCTCTGCAATTATTGACTGCTACTTACCCATCTTGACCTGAGTGTCCTCAGCTCTGAAATGGGGATAATAACAGTTCCACGGTCAGAAGGTGGTTGTTAGAATTAAATTATCTAATGCAGGTAAACCCAGAGGACACGGTGGAGCCCATAGTGAGGGCCACACATGAGGAGGATACAACAACGCTGAATTAGTCATCACTTTCCTCTGTGTGGGCAAGTTTTCTGTCTCGAAGTACAAGTGTAATTTTAATAAACACATTTAGTTTTCTATCAAACTATAGATTGCCTCATTTAATACAAATGAAATGATGTTATGTTTCTCGTTGTTAATGGCACACATTTTTAAGAATCCAACTTATTAGCTATGATTCATTTAAAATTGCCTTGTAGAAATATTCAAAATAATATACGAGTGCAAACGTGTTTCTGTTCTGTTTCTCTCTCGGGTGGGGCGGTGAGAGCGGAGCTTCACTGACGCCTCAGCTTTGCTTCTATTTCCGTGGGGTCATGTTTTGACACTTAGCAGAAGGATGCAGATAATTCTGACACGCGACACCTTGAAAGTCTCACCATTAGTTGAAATTTGATATAAGATTAAATGTCCGCAGCATCTCTGGTGTAGGAATCACATAATTTGATTTGATTTATATACCAGGATTTCTGGAGCAACAGTGCAAACATGTCTGCGAGTTGATGGAGAGAGGAAGGCGGCCCGCGCTCTCCTTGGCTCAGAAGCCCAGCAGTTACCCCAAATATTTCTTTCAGACTCCTGCCCCTGCATAAGCCCTACACATTTTCAACCCAACTCTTTATCCCGACTGGTGCAAGTCGAAGCCATTTCCTCTCCTAAACAAAAGCATGTGTATCGCTCAGAACAACCATAAAGCGCCCGAGAGGGCCTCGGCACCTTCCCATCTCCCTGCTTGTCAGTCTCCTCTGCCAAACGCTGAGTGTGGAAAAGCCGTGAAAGTACAGCTTCTGTACCCATTTGAGTAGCAGGGTCCTCTGTAATAATCCCCGGAGTTCAGGGGACCGGAGGTTGCAGAAGACTACCGTATTTTGCCACGTGTAAGGATGCGTATATACCTGGGCAGTCTACAGCCCGGAGCGGGACGCGCAGGGTCTCCCCAGCCAGCCCGCCCTCCCACCTGGGCTGCCTGGCGTTGCAGTTCGGAGGACCCAGGATCTGGTGGGATCAGGCCAGAGTGGTCTCCCCAGGTCTGCGGTTAGGGGAGGGGGTGGCCACCTGAAGGGGACTAGGAGCCCTACGTGGGCCCCTGGAACCCCACCCCGCTGCCCGGGGTCCACCAGGACCAGCCCCAGTGGAGGGGCAAGAAGGGCTTCAGGAGTGAGGGGAGGAGCCGGCTGGACCATCTGCACCTTTACCAGGGAGCCTTAGCCCTCTTTGATGTGTCTCTCCCTGCTGAGGGGCATTTTCCTGAAAGTCTGGCAAAATACACACTATATGAGTGTGCATCATACATGGGACATGGTTATGCAGCAAAATATGGTGAATAAATTTCATGCATATGAGTCCAGCACAAAGAAATCTCCCTCAGTGCCTTGACTTTCAGAGTCCAAATTTCACCCTGACCAAGGAAAGAAATATTTTATCTCTCTGTAGATTCCTCTGGATTCCAGAGTCCCTTACAAGAGTGGCTGATTGTTGGTCTTACTAAGTGACAGATTCACTAGATCTAAAAAATTAGATTTATGTCACTGTTCCTTTGTACTTCGAGCTTACTGTGTAATTGGGGGTGGGGCGGTCAGAAAGCGAGAGGAACACTGGGATAAAAACCCGTTTGCTTTGGTTTAAAAGGTAAAGTAGCAGACACGTGTGCTGCTGATTTGTGATTCGTACTCCCCACCAGCAAACCCATATCCTCAGGGAGGCGGACCGTAGGAAAGCCAGGTCAGGGCAAAGGTAGTCTGGGAGAAACCAGTGACTTCGGCTTTCTGTTATTCGGCAAACCCATCGTCCTGCGATATTTGTGCTGATACCAGGACACAGAGTATCATATACAACTCTGGGTTTGCATTTGATATTCAAGCTCAGTACTCATTGTTTATGGAGGCCAAGTTTAGCTTCCATAAATTTTAAGCCTGGGCTTCCTAAATTTTACTGGAGTGCCATTTTTGTTTCCTCAACAATTTCATATCATCAGGGTTTAGAAACTGGAAATCTGAATTCTGAAGGTGCAGATGGTGTTCTCCAATCTTACCTCCCTACCCATTTTGAATTATAATTTATAGAGAATAATTAGTCATATAATAACATGTTTAATATGTTCAATAGCTCTGTTTTTGGATTCCTTTACTTAAAATAGTTGTGTTTCTTATCCAAATACAAGTATGTGGTTATTGCCATCCTTCCCCCCCTTTCTCTTTTTGTTAAGAGAGGATACAAAGCCAGACACAGTGGCTCATGCCTGTAATCCTGGCACTTTGGGAGGCCAAGGCACGGAGGACTGCTTGAAGCCAGGAGTTCAAGACTAGCCAGAACAACATAGCAACATCCTATCGACACAAAAAAATAAAATAAAATAGCCAGGGGTGGTGGGTCACACCTGTAGTCCCAGCTACTCTGGAGCTTGAGGGAGGAGGATCCCATGAGTCCAGGAGTTTGAATTTGCAGTGAGCCACCAGGATGCCTTTGCAATGCAGTCTGGGCAACAGAAACCCTGTCTCCAAAACATTTTTTAAAAGAGAGAGAGTGTGAAAATATAAAAGACATTTTAGTTAAATGAAACAGCCAGTTTAATTAAAACATAACATTTAACTTTCAAGCTGGTATATTCCTGTTTATAACGATAGCCTTTTCATTTTGCCTTTGACACGAGCTTTACAAGGACTTCTATGGAAGTTGAGACATGCCCAACAAGGCTTGTCTATGTGTCTGTCCTTTACAGTGATGGCAATATACACCTAATTCAAAGGCTTAGATGTGGCATTAAAAACAGCTAATTTTAAAAATTAAAAACTTAGAGATACAACCAGTGATTTTATCTATATCAAAGAAAATCCCTTTCGGTTTTACAAAATTAATTTTTATCATTTCATCAGTGGAACTGAGGGTTTTTTAATGTTCTGTGTAGCTATATCTCTGAGAGTTTTCTACATTTATCTCATCAGTTATAAATGTTTAAATTTCTCTTTGTTTCATGTAAAAGAAAACCAATACCTACTGCAGATTCACAGAATTATCCAAATGTCCATGAAGTTGGAAGTCCTTATTTGGGACTCTCCCATCATCTTTAAATGTATGAAAA